TAAGAGGCGAGGAGGCAGCCAAAATGCCTCGTTTGAGGAGTTAATGGAGGCTACGCCTGGACCGCTGAGTGTTCCTGTGTGAAAAGCAAGCAAGCAGTCGTCTAAGGAAGCAGTTGGAAGAAGCCTCAACGATGACGCCTCCCAGTTTCCCTCCAAACGGTTTTTGTATGGGAAGCACCTCTCAGCAGCATTGGCAGAGTGCGGCACAAAGGAGGAGATTCGGTGTCATTGCCATTCCCAACCACTTTTAGTGGTGAATTGGATGCAACTGCCAACACGATGGTGATGTGCAAGTTGACTCGTTCTTCTGCACTACGAAGACAGCAACGTCGGTTTAACCGCCTCAACGTATAATCACAGCCAATTCGAATTCCAGGCAAGGAATCGAGGATCGAAGGGGAAAATTCCCCGAAAACTGTTAATGGACAAAAAGTGGTGTTCTCCTGTTTTGGTTTGACGGAAGAATCTGCTGGACCGATTCTTCGAGGAGTCATTCGGATGGTAGAAGTGTTCACTTGACGCAGTGAAGAGCAAGGAGAACTGCGTAAAGTCTTCAAACCAACCGACAATCGTTAAAATTCACTTTAATGCGTTGTGATTGCTTAAAATTCGCCTTATAGGAGAAACGTAAGAAGTGGAATGGAACACCGAGCTCAAGGAACCAATGGACACCACGAATAGACCGCCATAAGCACTGTCATTCCACCTTTTGTTCCTGCCTTATCAACCCTAGTCTGTTCACAATGCCTAAGAAATCGCACACATGAAGGGAGCCCCCATGGGAGGCATTTGGAAGGGACAAGAACAGTTGCAATGCGAAGAAGAAGAGGAGAAGGAGAAGGAGAAGGAGGAGGAGGGAGTTTTAGCAACTGAAGTTAAAGAAGTATCCACTAGTAAGTGCTTTGGCTTTCCGTTAAAAAAAATTGATGTGTTTAATCTCCCAAAGTCTCTTGACTCTGTGCACTGATCCCAACAAAGTCGATCAACACCCTGCCAAGCAATTCACTCTGTCTCCTGTCCAAGCAGGTAACATTTCAACAACGAGGTGTTTAAATGCGCCTTATGGGTGTGAGGCGAAAAGTCGATTCAAATGCCGTCCTTCAGAGCCAATCGGTCCACCGTTTTGAACCACCCGAAGCGTCTGTCCGCCCTCACTTTTGTCCTCCCAGCGGCTATCGAGATGTGTGCAACGCCTAATGAAATCCCCAAAGCAAACCACCTCCAGAGGAAGGCAGATGGCAGTAATAGCAGAGTTACCATAGCGTGCTTGAATTCATTTAACCTCTCCAATTTCAGGGTTCTAAGAGGGCTCATTTACTTTACTGAAGATGTTGCACACGCCAACATCTAATAAACGAGTACTTCGACAAGTAACTCGCTTTCTTTGACCTTTGGAAGCACTTTTTTATGCTTTAAGCATTCTGGACGTCAAACTAGCGTTAGGCGCCAAGGCGTCACCGTAAAACAGACGTCTTTTTTTGCTTCTCCTTCAAACCCCCTTCTCAGGAAAGATGGAGCTGATCAGAGTCTTCTCGGTGTCAGTAAAGAGGGCGCTTGAATGCTCATCTTCACAATCCAAGCCTCCTATTCCAACATTCGCCTTGTCAGTCAATAAGACTGGATTAACGCACAGCAAGACGACTGACAGGTGGAATGAAAGATGAACGATTTGATTAACGAGGGCACAAATAAGGAGGCAACCTTAACAAGGTCAGTTAGATCTCAAACAACTGATTAGGCAAGGAAGTCCCCCTTGGATGAACATACCTTTGAGGTCTCGGTCACGTCCAACCCTCCATCACCACTTCTATCCACCCTTCACGTTTTTTTTTTCTTTTCAAAGCTACTATGACAGACTTCCTGTCACCTCACATCATTTCACTAAGTGAGCGCAAGTATTCAGTCGTCACCTCCACTCAACACCCTCCATCCAGCGGCATTGAAGAAGAGGAAATAAATGATAAGAG